GGTTGCATTTGCAATTTAACTTCAAATGTGTATCATGATAAAAGGTGCTGATTTACTGGGAAGGTATGTAAAGACAAACTTACCATAGGGAGAGTCCATAGCTGATGTGCTAGAAAGAAATCCTCTAAGAATTGGGTCTGTGGGCTACTTAAAATAGAAATAAACTTAAAAAAAAAGTTTGGGAAGTTACCAAATATCTCAATATATTGACAGCTATAGAGAACCAGTCTGAACTTCTTAAGTGCAATAAAACAGCATATATCTCTAACAGGCTGGCTTGCATTAACTGCCTTGCATTGGGGAGTTATAGGGTGGTAGACACAGTGCTAAAAACTTAACATACTTCATCCCATTTTATTCTTTCACAATCTTGTGAAGTAGGTATTATTATCCGCATTCTACAGATAGAGAAAAAAGCTTAGAGAAGTATGTGCTTGCTGAAGGTCTCATGGCTAGCATACTCTGTCGGTGTGTTATCAGAATGTTACTGTTTTCCCTCCACAGGTGTCAGCCTGTCCTCCATGCACAGAATATGGCTGGAAATGAAATAATAGCGTGGAAACCACAGGGAGGAACAATGCACATAAAATGGGTTTTCTTAAGCGTTATGTTTTTTTCCTTCCAAAATTTAGAGTCCAACTGTGGATTTAAAAGTTTCAGTAAGAGTTTTACAGAAATAAACGAAGCCTTACTGAATTGATACTTATCTCAAATGTCATTGCAACTTGTATAAGTGAGCCATAAAAATAATTCTACATTTCAGTGTGAAATGACTGGTTTTTTACTTTATTTGAGCAAATTTCAAAGTCTGGATACACATCTTAGAGGTGCCTCACACAGAATCTACTTGCTTTATCATTACAGATTTTAATGATTATTTTTCTGTATAAACCTTTATTCTAGTTGGTCTCATTTAAAAATTTTTTTTTATTAAGATATTATTGATATACACTCTTATGAAGGTTTCACATGAAAAAACAATGTGGTTACTACATTTACCCATATACCCATATTATCAAGTCCCCACCCATAACCCAATGTAGTCACTGTCCATCAGGGCAGCAAGACACCACAGATTCACTATTTGCCTTCTCTGTGCTACAATGTTTTCCCCATGAATCCCACACCATGTGTACTAAACATAATATCTCTCAATTCCCTTCTCCCTCCCTCCCCACCTGCCCTCCCACAACCCTCCCCTTTGGTAACCACTAGTCCTTTCTTGGAGTCTCTGAGTCTGCTGCTATTTTTGTTCCTTCAGTTTTGATTTGTTGTTATACTCCACAAATGAGGGAAATCATTTGGCACTTGTCTTTCTCTGCCTGGCTTATTTCACTGAGCTTAATATCCTCCAGCTCTATCCATGTTGTTGCAAATGGTAGGATTTGTTTCTTTCTTATGGCCGAATAATATTCCATTGTGTATATGTACCACATCTTCTTTATCCATTCATCTACTGATGGACACTTACATTGCTTCCATATCTTGGCTATTGTAAATAGTGCTGCAATAAACATAGGGTGCATATGTCTTTTTGACTCTGAGAAGTTATATTCTTTGGGTAAATTCCAATGAGTGGGATTCCCGGGTCAAATGGTATTTCTATTTTTAGTTTTTTGAGAAACCTTCATATTGCTTTCCACCAGATTACCAATATTTTTGTTTTACCCAGGTATACATTCTTTGGAAATGTTATGTGTCATACAAGGTTGTGTTTCTATTTCATTTTTCGCTATGCTTTTTATGCTGAGTTGGTTTCATATCATTTTATCTTCAAAACATTTCTCCAACTCCCTTCTTGTCTTAACGATTATCTTGATTTCCAAACATACTGGGGGTAGGGTGGGAAGTCAGTGAAGGGTGAAGAACTGGAAAGCAGACTGACTTTCGTGTCAGGGAACAAAGAGAGCAGATTGTAAGAAATGTTTGACAGGAAAAATAATTTCCAAAAGTGTCAGACATTTGTCTATGAATTATTTGTGTAGCTTCAAAAGTAGAAAACTCAATGGTATACTTGTTACAATTGCTGGTATCTGGTATGCTGGAGTTAGCCCATCAACTATTCATGTGAAAACTTGTATTATTGGGAAGAAATTGAACATCAACAAAAAAATCTCCTTTGAAATATCATGCCTTAACATTCTCCTTTACAAATATTGTGCAGGGAAAACATGAGACATCTAAAAAACAAAAGAATCTACCTTTCAAGAAGATTGAAAAAGGCATAAGTTGTCACAGGTGAGAAGATGATTCATTATTCCTGTTTGTACAACCTTAAACATTTATTTTTGAGGGGAGGGGATGTCTGGGAAAATTCCTGATTGTCAGAGTTATTTACAGAAGTTACAACAAGAGATTCTGATGATTCTTCCATGCTGTGATTGTAAGCGATACACATATCAATCTCTATTAAGAATATGGTACAAGAAGGTTTTTCATGCCCTGTGGAGAAGGTGTCCTCATTCTAAGTTTTTGGGAAGTAGTAGGTTTCATGACAGAAATGAATATAAACTATGGTGTATGAAACCTTCACACTGTAGCCCTTTAATAATAACAATGTTTTTTTCTGATTTGATGTCTCTGTTAATATTACCCATAATGCTTTCATCTTCGTGAGGACTTTATACATTTCAAAATAATTTTTTTCTTATTTCGTAAGTAATACATTCAAAACCAAAAAATTAGGCATACAATCTTTCTAGTCTTTTTAAATACATATATAAGAATATATTTTTCTTTGACCAAAAGTGTAATCAAACTGTACATGCTGTTTTATCATCTACTTTTTCCCTCACACCAACATTCTATGAAAATCAAAGGGCTTTTGTGATACTATTTTCCTTAGAAGTACTGATCATGCATATAAAACAGAAGCAAATTTTTTATATTGGAAAACAATGACTGTAAGCATACTTCAATTTATAAATGTTATAAAGGATCATTTCTAAATGTTGTTTCATATTAAATTAGATAATTTTTAAGAAGTACCTATGTCTTACTTTTTTCTTTTTTAAGGTATCATTGATATACAATCTTATGAAGATTTCACATGAGCAACACTGTGGTTTCAACATTCACCCATACTACTATCAAGTCCCCTCCACACACACCCCTTTGCAGTGAGTCTCCATCAGCATAGGAAGATGCTACAGAGTCATTACTTGTCTTCTCCATGCTGTACTGCCTTCCCTGTGACCTACCTATATTGGTGATTGCTAATTATAATTCCCCTTAATCCCCTTTTCCCTCCCCACCCACCTTCCCGAACGCTTCCCCTTTGGTAACCACTAGTCCCTTCTCCACGTCTGAGTCTGCTGCTACTTTGTTCCTTCAGTTTTGCTTTGCTTTTATACTCCACAAATGAGTGAAGTCATTAGGTATTTGTCCTTCTCTGCCTGGCTTATTTCACTGAGCATAATACCCTGTAGATCCATCCATGTTGTTGTATATGGTAGGATTTCTTTTCTTTTTACGGCTGAATAATGTTTCATTGTGTACATGTACCACTTCTTTATCCATCCATCTGTTGATGGACACTTAGGTTGCTTCCTTATCTTGGCTATTGTAAATACTGCAGTGATAAACATAGGGGTGCATGTGTCTTTTCAAATCAGGGATCTTGTGTTTTTTGGGTAAATTCCTAGGAGTGGAATTACTGGGTCAAATGGTATTTGTACTTGCAGTTTTCTGTGGAATCTCGATATTGCTTTCCACAACAGTTGAACCAATTCACATTCCCACCAACAGTGTAGGAGGATTCCCCTTTCTCTGCATCCTTGCCAGCATTTGTTGTTTCTTGTCTCTTGGATGTTGGCCATCCTAACTGGTGTGAGGTAATATCTCATTGTGGTTTTAATTTGAATTTCCCTGGTGAGTAGCTATGTGGAGCACCTTTTCATGTGCCTGTTGGCCATCCATATTTCTTCTTTGGAGAAGTGTCTGTTCAGATCCTACACCCATTTTTTAATCAGATTATTTGTTTTTTGGGTGTTGAGGTGTGTGAGTTCTTTATATATTTTGTATGTTAACCCCTTATTGGATAAATCACTTATGAATATATTCTCCCATACTGTAGGATGCCTTTTTGTTCTGCTGATGATGTCGTTTGCTGTAGAAGCTTTTTATTTTGATGTAGTCCCACTTGTTCATTTTTTTTATTTTGTTTCTCTTGCCCGATCTCCTCTCACATCTTTACCTGACCCTTAAGTGTTGGTTTACTTGGCCTTTTCTTTTCTCATTCTGTCTACTCTTACTTAGTTATTCTCTACCTCAACTCATAAGCCTGAAAACTGTCCTATCAATTCTGCCTCCTAATTAACTTGTAGCTCTCATCTATTTTCCATTTTCACTATTTTATTCTAGTTCATAAATCTTGGTTAGATGAGTACAGTAATCTTATAATTGATCTCCCACACTATACACCCAAGTATTTCCCCGGGAATGATCAACATAGTACAATTCTCAACCTAAGTGAGTACACCTTCCTTGGGGACTTTCAGAAAAGTTCAGGCGTGGGCCTTTTGATTGATGGCACAATAGACATTTAGTTTGTGGGGGCCAGGGATATATTCTGCAATCTGCTAGATGATCCTGAACAACTAAGAATTATTTTGTGAGAAACGGATTCCTAGATTCAGGATTTCTTGGACCACCAAATCACATTTGTCAAAACTCACCAATGTATACACTTAAAATGGATACATTTTACTGTAAATAAATCATAGTTCAATAAGACTGATTTTAAAAAGTGAATTACTTGAAACCAATATAAGATTGTATATCAATGACACATAAATTTAAAAAATACAAAAGAAAAAAGTTAATTACACCCCCAACACACACATTAGGATGGCTACTATTAAAAAAACAAACTAGAAAATACAAAGAAATTGGAACCCTTGTGCACTGTGGGTGGGAAGGTCAGATTGTGGGGGGTCAGATTGTGCAGCCACTATGGAAAACAGTATGCCATTTCCTCAAAAACTCAGAAATAGAATTACCATATGATCCAGCAATTTCACTCCTGGGAATATATCCAGAAAAATTGAAAGCAGGGCCTCAAAGAGATATTCATACAGCCATGTGCATAGCAGCATTATTCACATCTAAAAAGTGGACGCAATTCAAGTGTTCATCAATAGATGAACAGATAAACAAAATGTAGTATATACATATAATGGATACTATTCAGCTTTAAAAAGGAAGGATTCCTGACACATTATACAACATGGGTGGACTTTGAGAATATCATGTTAAGTAAAGTTAGCCAGTTATAAAAGAACAAATACTGTATGATTCTACTTATATGAAGTCCTATCAGAGTCAAATTTATGGACAGGAGGTAGAATGATGCATGCCAGGGATGAAGGTGAAGTATGGGCAGTTGTTTAATGGGTACAGATGTTCAATTTTGCAAAATAAAAAAGTTCTGGAAATGGATGGTGGTGATGGTTGCACAACAATGTTAATGTACTTATGCCACTGAACTGTACACTTAAAAATGGCTAAGATATTTTTTAAAGTTAAATACAAATGAACAGAAGTCAGCCTATACTCCTTCCAGTAATTATATAAATGGGCCTATCTGTGCAATAGCTTGACTCCTTGGCTCTCTGTAACAAATCTAGCCTATGACAGAAGAGAAAAATAACTCTAGAATAACATGAAAACTAAAATACACCTTTTCCTGAAATATCAAAATATTGACTACTTCTCACTTACCTCTTTGTCCTGTGTTGTGGATTCCATTTGCTCGTACTTCACTTTGCAGGCCTTGAATTACTCCCAGGTTTCTTTGGAGATGGGACTGACTTCAGGGAATGGCTGAAAGAGATTGTCAGCTCTTTTCAAATGACATAGTTCATAAAAATCCAGGGAGGCAAGACAGCTTGATATAAAGGCACTATTTATAGCAAAAACTGTAAAACTTCAGCATATGTGAAATAACCATGGCATTTTTATGATGTAACCAAGAGTAACACGGTTTTGATGCCTGTCCCTAAATATAAAGATCTCTTATATGTGTTCATTCCTGTTCTGTAATATGTGTACCATTCACATAAATGCACTAAAAAATTTTTAAGCTTCAAAAGTTTGATCAAAATCAATCAAGCTAGCTCACCATTTCACTACATGAAACTAGAGAGACTGCTTTAGTGTCTCATCTCTCAATAATTGGAGGCTTTAGTCTAAAATTCCTCAACAGATTTAGTAAAAGTATAAAATGACTATTAAAAGAAGTTATTCTGAGCCATAGTTTTAACAATGCTCATCTCCAGGTATCTTTAGAATGTTACTTATGCTTTAAAAAAGTAATTTTAAATTGACTTAATTTCACTTCAGTTAAGAACAAATGAACCCCATTCTGTTTTTAAGAAATCATAGATTAAATAAATGCAAACAACAGCCAATTAGGACACAGGAAATTAATTCTCCAAAGTTTAGGAATCATGGCCTTGGAAGAAACTAGAAACTGGAAATTTTTCTTCCAACTCTACAATGATTGTTTAACCTCTCCTCATTCCAAACTTCCAGTCATTTTACAGGCAAGGTCCATAAATAGTGATGGTAAGATTTTTAACTAGCCAAGATTCTAGCATCCTTCTTACCGCAAGTACCAGGAAAAATGTTAAGAATTTGAAATCAGTCAATATTGTTCCTGCTCTGGTCCACACTGAGGTGGTGACGTGATTATTACAGAAACCGTGGGACCTACCACCTCAGGTAAGCACGGAGGAAGAGACTTCCGTTTTATAGGTGCCAGAGATAGTTTTACACTTTGGGGATGACATTTGTAGATCAGGGTGATGGCAAAGCACCCAAAAATCTTCACGGACATGAACTTATTCACCTGGGGGCAACAGAAAGGATTGTCATTTTCCACATAGAATTTTTATGCTCATAATTCAGGTAGAAATCATAGACATTTGCATCATGTACAGAAGGAAATTTGGGACTGACATTCACAGACAGCTTTAGTTTAATTCCATTAAGTTGGGAGTGGGTGTTAGGTTTTGTGCCACAGATTCTTGTGTTGCTACGACTTAATGGAGGGAAGGAAGAGGAGTGGGAAGAAGCTATTTGCAATTAATGTAGTCATGTCTTAAAAGAAAGTCAGAGTCATTTTCGATTGGGAAAATTCTGGGTCAATTTACAGGTATTCTGAGTCCTAATTCTAGCCTTGAGACAGTCTCTCCTGTAAAATATGGTTGATAACATCTGATTCCCTTGATGTTGAGAAAAGTCATTAATAGCTGCCATGTGCTTATAAGTTTTACAAGTCTTAGTATTACTCTGAAACTTATTAAAGCTGGAAAGATTTTATAAATGACAAGGATAGAAAAGTAATGATAAACAACTTTTTAAAGCTCAATTAACATCTGTAGATTTGTAAAACATTTAAAGGCTTCCTGTGGACAAAGGGTCCTAATTAAGTCAGCTGCTCTAAGCACACAAGGACTTTTGTTTGATTATAAAATACACTCCCTTGCTTCCTGAAGGCTGCCAGCTGAGGTAATCTGAACTGAATAATCTAACCAATTAGCAACCCTAATTGTTTTAGACAAAGGAACAGGTATCTATGACTCCTGAGTGTCAGGAAACTTGCACATACAGGCCTTGCTGGTATAGTTTCTTTACCACTTTACTTTCACAACCCTCCTGAGTTAAGCACGTACTTCTTTTAAAATGGCTGCCCAAATGGTACATGTAGGACACATGGCTACCATCGATGATTTTGTAAATTGTATAGAACAGAGACAAAGAAGTACTCTCCACATAACAGCTTGTCCAGGAGAAATATAATGTGAGCCATAAATATGAGCCACATAAGTAATCTTAAATTTTCTGGTAGTCATATTACAAAGAGTAAAATGCAGGTGAAATTAGTTTCAGTAACATTTTATAACTAAATATATCCAAACATTAACATCTGAACATGTAACCAATATAAAAATTACTAAGAAGATATTTTAATTCTCCTTTTTATACTTAAAGCATATTTCAAGGATTCCATAACCATGGGTGGCTAGTGACTGCTATACTGGACAGCACAGCTTTTTATAAAGGGTGCCCCTAAAGTTGGTTGTGCAGTGCACCAGATGCACAGCTATATGCAGGGGCTGCGGACATGGAATGTAGCTTCCCACCACACACACACACAGTAACTATGACTCAAGAAAGTATAGCATAGCATTAAAGACACAGCTCAGAAGTTTTGATTTAGTCTTCTCTGAGTTTGAATTAATTGCCAACTTTTAAATACCAGAATATTTCATCAAAAAGTTTGAATTTATGGCTTTTAAAAGAAAAGTGTAAAATAGAGCAAACCCAGGCCTATATTCTTGTGTGTCAGCAGTCTTCTGGCCCTGAGTAAAGGCTGCCTGCCCCCTGCAGGGGAGATGCACTTTCCAGTTCACCCCAGTTCCCACCTGGCAGGCTCTCTCTCACATTGTCTGAATTTCTGATCCTTTATCAGGCAAAATTACAGACTAAGCTATTAACAGAGATAATTTCTGTGGAGTGAAATTGAAGAGAAGAAGACTTTCACTTTGAACATTGTTATTTTCCTATTTTAAAAATATTTTTATATTAGGCACAAAGTGCTTTTCTAATAATAATTGTTAAAATTACTATTTAAACTGCTGTTTAGCAAAGATAAATCCATCAAGAAAGGACCAAGGAAAGTGCCAAATGAAGTGAACAACTGAAATAAAGATTATTAGATCAGTTGGCTAGTGTAGATAGGCAAAGTGAATAATTCAGTCTCAATCCTCTTTCCCCCTAATAGTATATTTAGAAACTCAAAGTAAATTGTTATGGCATAAGAAATTATCATAAGAATGATAAATGTCAAAAGAATACCCAAATTTCAACTGGATCACTATGCTTTCCCTTTGAAGGCCACATCCATTCCCTTATGACGTTTCCTCTTTTGCTGATCACCTGATTAAACGTCATTGATATTACTGGGCTTCAGAAGAGAGAGAAATGGGACTTATGAACAAGAAAAATTCATGGACTCTTTGATTTGGCTGAAGTGATGTAAGTCACCAGGTCACAGCCTGTGACTCCCTCCTATCACATTTCTGGATAATGGTCACCTTGCCTCTGCCTGAATATTTTCCTCAAAGGAAAGGTTGGTATATACCTGCTCAGCTGACCAAGATTCCCCTTCTCTGAGACATACCTCTTCCTGCTTCACTGCCCCGCCCCCCACTGCCATCTATGGAGTTACAGGAATGTGCCCTGACAGCCATGATTATCATCTGGTCTCATCTCACCTCACATCATGTCATGACCATCATGTGGCCCTGCTGCCTTGGTTGTGGTTCATTGAATCAGGGGTGGACATTTGACCCAAGAATGTATTCTAAATGGATGCACCAATTATACAAAAGGAAGGTGGTGGGCACAGTACACTCAAGGGACTAAAGGAAAGTGAGAGTGGCAAGTTCCAAGTGGTAAATGAGATGAGAGTGATTGGCAGGTAGAAGCCAGAGATGTACAGGGCTTCCTATGCTGTAGCACAAATTTTATCTTAAAAGTGAAAACTCCTAGAAGGGTTCAATAATAAATCAAAGAGGTAACATAATCAAATAGATTGGTAAAGAACCAAAGTAAATCCTGGAGTCCAGTTACAAGTGGTCCTGGAGAAAGGATGGCAGCTTGGACTAGGCCAGGGGTGAAAGAGATGGAGACACATGTGTGGATTCATGAACCATCTGGATTTGGATTGATGGGATTTGGGTAGTAAAGAACAGGTATCAATTTTATCTTCCCTATATTTTATATGTTTATTCATGCAGCCTAGCATTACATTAGCTTTTCTGGATCAGCAGCATCACACTGTGCTCAAGTCTAAACCGTCTTTATGTCTTCTTTCTTCTCAGCACGGCACTTGGCACAGAGAAGGGCCTTAAAGTCTGAATTGCACTGACAAAATGTACTCAGTTAGGCAAATACATATTGGGTAATTATTGGGTAATTACTGGATCAAGACACTGTTAGGCATCTAGGGATACCCAGAGTGAGGTGCTCTCTCTACATTCAGGACATTTTCCATCTTACGACAATAAATATTTTGATAGGTAACATTTATTGGGAGACTACATATGTCAAGCCTTAAATACAT